TGGCTCCGGCTTTGGAAGAGGCACTGGCTCCGGCTCTGGAACAGGCACTGGCTCCAGCTCTGGAAGAGGCACTGGCTCCGGCTCTGGAACAGGCACTGGCTCCGGCTCTGGAAGAGGCACTGGCTCCGGCTCTGGAACAGGCACTGGCTCCGGCTTTGGAAGAGGCACTGGCTCCGGCTCTGGAACAGGCACTGGCTCCAGCTCTGGAACAGGCACTGGCTCCAGCTCTGGAACAGGCACTGGCTCCGGCTCTGGAACAGGCACTGGCTCCAGCTCTGGAAGAGGCACTGGCTCCGGCTCTGGAACAGGCACTGGCTCCGGCTCTGGAAGAGGCACTGGCTCCGGCTCTGGAACAGGCACTGGCTCCGGCTTTGGAAGAGGCACTGGCTCCGGCTCTGGAACAGGCACTGGCTCCGGCTCTGGAAGAGGCACTGGCTCCGGCTCTGGAAGAGGCACTGGCTCCGGCTCTGGAACAGGCACTGGCTCCGGCTCTGGAACAGGCACTGGCTCCGGCTTTGGAAGAGGCACTGGCTCCAGCTCTGGAAGAGGCACTGGCTCCGGCTCTGGAAGAGGCACTGGCTCCGGCTCTGGAACAGGCACTGGCTCCGGCTTTGAAAGAGGCACTGGCTCCGGCTCTGGAAGAGGCACTGGCTCCGGCTCTGGAACAGGCACTGGCTCCAGCTCTGGAAGAGGCACTGGCTCCGGCTCTGGAAGAGGCACTGGCTCCGGCTCTGGAACAGGCACTGGCTCCGGCTTTGGAAGAGGCACTGGCTCCGGCTCTGGAAGAGGCACTGGCTCCGGCTCTGGATGAGGCACTGGCTCCGGCTCTGGAAGAGGCACTGGCTCCGGCTCTGGAAGAGGCACTGGCTCCGGCTCTGGAACAGGCACTGGCTCCGGCTTTGGAAGAGGCACTGGCTCCGGCTCTGGAAGAGGCACTGGCTCCGGCTCTGGAACAGGCACTGGCTCCAGCTCTGGAAGAGGCACTGGCTCCGGCTCTGGAAGAGGCACTGGCTCCGGCTCTGGAAGAGGCACTGGCTCCGGCTCTGGAACAGGCACTGGCTCCAGCTCTGGAAGAGGCACTGGCTCCGGCTCTGGAACAGGCACTGGCTCCGGCTTTGGAAGAGGCACTGGCTCCGGCTCTGGAATAGGCACTGGCTCCGGCTCTGGAACAGGCACTGGCTCCGGCTCTGGAAGAGGCACTGGCTCCGGCTCTGACTGGACAGACGTGACGTGAACAGTCTGTGACTGGACAGACGTGACATGAACAGTCTCTGACTGGGCAGACGTGACATGAACAGTCTCCGACTGGGCAGACGTGACGTGAACAGTCTCTGGCTGGGCAGACGTGACGTGAACAGTCTCTGACTGGCAGGGCATGGCAGGGCATGGCAGGGCATGGCAGGGCATGGCATGGCATGGCATGGCATGGCAGGGCAGGGCAGGGCAGGGCACAGAACTCCATGCGACTAACACACATCACAATAACAATGACCGAGCACAGAACAGCAAACACAGGTATACTAAATAGGAAGGCAAACAAAGGAGGGTAACGAGGAGGACAGGTGGAACAAATAAACCAATAATCAGCTAACAAGGGGAGGGACCAGACAATGGCAAGAGCACATGGCCCAAAAATAACAAAACACCCATGTGCATCACAACACAGACATGTGACAAATATTGCTTGCTGGACTGTTATTAAATGGTCATTGTTACAGTATTATTTTCCTTCTTTCTGGTAAAAATACAACTCAAGACCATTAAACAGGCAAGGCCCTGGGAGCTGAGCCATTTGAAAGGGAAACTTGATATTCTAAGGACATATTTATCTCAACTTAATTCAAAGTTAAGTTGAGTGACTTTTTTAAACAGTAAAATCGCAGAGAAAAACTTAAAAATAAATAAATAAATATGGTGGGTTTTTTTTTTGCTTTTTTGAGAATGAGGGCCAAATAAATAGACAGACAAAAGAAATGGATAGATAGATAGATAGATAGATAGATAGATAGATAGATAGATAGATAGATAGATAGATAGATAGATAGATAGATAGATAGATAGATAGATAGATAGATAGATAGATAGAAGGTTACAGAGGAAAACAGGAATGTACAGCATATTTATGAGTGACCCAAGTGAAAAAGTAAAGCGAGAAGTGACTGGCCTTATTCGGTACTTTCATGCCCATGATATTTAGATGAGGGGACAGGCCAATTCTGGCTTTCTAGAAATTAACAACAGGGTATGACTTTTCAGAATATGCCTTCCTCAGCATATGTCATAAGTGAAAGGGAACTATCAGGTTAAACATTATGTTCACAAAATTAGTCAAATAGCATGTTTTTCATAGCAGAAGTACCTATATACGTGTCCTTTGGTGCTTTCAGGATGTAGGTACATAATGTCAAGGGGTATCACTGGGGAATGTCTCTGTCTGAGTTCCTCTAAAGGTAACCAAGCTATTTAAAGTTGCTACACTCTTTCAAATAAAGGTTCTTCATGGCGGATCAATAAAGAACCTTTAACATTTGTAAAACCTTTTCATAGCACAAGTGGGAAAGGGTTTTTTAAATGATTAAACTGTTCACACAAAGGAAAATAAGGTTCTTTGGGGAACCAAAAATAACTATTCTATGGCATTGCTGCTAAAAACCCCCTTAAACCTTTATTTTTAAGAGCAGTTTTGCACTGTTGGACTGTAAACTCAAAGGACAAAACTGCCCCAAACTGAGTTTTCATGTGCGTCTCTAATTCTAGCAATTAGTGACACATGTGTCAAAGCAAAGAAATGTGTCATTTAAACCATAATGCATGCTTGAGGAAATTTCATGGCCCGGCGAGTGAATTTTAATAACACCTAATGACTTATATCTTGCTACAGAGTGTCTTTGCACTTTTGAGGAATGTGTTGCGCTTCTGACATCAAAGGGACCTGCCAGAATGATGTCAGTCCACTGCCCTTTTAAAGGCTCTTCCTTAAATATAGGCAACCTATAACAAATAAGCTTTCACTGAATTCTTGCCTACAGGTCCTCCAAACAGCCATAGACACACAATGCAATAAATGTATGTTTCACCTCCTGAAATACCCAAAATTGCCAACCGCCCACGAGACATGGTTTCCCCTTGCGCGGCATACAGAAGTACAGTGTTTAGATCATTTGCAAAGCAAAGGCAGAACAGAGGAACTACTGTTCCACACATTTACACTGCTCTAACCACAGATCTTTATCAGTCCTCTTATCACTTATCAACTACATGTTTGGTTTCTGTCACACATTTATTTGAAGCAGACATGAGACGAAAGGGAAAATTCATATACCCCATATTTTCTCTAGAATTCAGAGAGACTGAGCAAGGAAGAGCCTAGTATTGAGTTATGAACAGTTGCAGAAAACGTGCAAACTATATAGCTAACCTACATTTTAGAATTCAAAGTCAATTTTTCCTTTAGAGTTTAAACTCTCGGAACTCCACTTCTATTTTTTGCCACATCAGCCTTTCCTTCATGTTTATAGTTCTCTCACTTCCTTAATTATCTCCCTTATAATGTGTATATTTGTGCTTGTGGTTAAAGGTCTGACCTCCTGATTATATTCAAGACAAGAACAGAATTCGGACAAAAATGAAAAGCAAGAATTTTAATTTCTCATTTTCATCTAACCCTCTCTTATGTTCTCTGTTGTTCCTGAATTAAGCTAAAACAATCGAAATAGTAAAAAGCCTTACACAATTACTAAAAGAAATATTGCATATTGAAATATTGCATATAAAAAAGAAATATTGAAATATTGGAAAAAGACAGTCCACGAAGTAACGAGGAGTAACAAAAAATATGTGCCCTTTTTGTCACCTCAATGTTTATACTCGAATGAAGATTATATCGAATCATCTAATCTAATATTAATATACAGTATCTATTATTTCATATAGAGTATTGGGGTAGTAATGGCACAGTGGATAAGACACATGCCTTTGGTGTGAGAGACCCGGGTTCGAATACACTGCGAGACACCATTGTGTCCCTGAGCAAGACATTTAACCCTTCGTTACTCAAGAGGTGTGTGACCTCTGACATATATAGCAATGGGCTATATGCACGCATAAGTTCCGCATTTGACGTAAGGATGCTCATCCATTTCCGGTTGTGTAGATTAAAGCGGAGGAAAACCGGAGAAAACGGGATTATGGCAGAGTCTTCAATATTTACTGTCCTCCCGTCTTTGAAACGAAACGTACATACGTTTAGATGTAATTTTATATATAGTTATGTTTATTTAATATAATTTTAAAAAGAAGCATAAACACAACGAGGGGTGTCTGTTTTATCTGTTTTTGTGACTTACGTTTCATTAGTATAACCATGGAGTATAAAATTCAATATAAATTCTCGGTATTGCATTGGACTCTATGATCGGCGGAAGTTATCGAGCATCCTTAATCCTTCACCGGAAATAACGCCGTGCATAGAGCCCATTGTAAATCACTTTGGATAAAAGCGTCAGCTAAATGAATACATTTAAATTTAATTGTGTTGTGTCCTTAAAGTGTTATTTATTAACAGTTTCTCCAACAAACCAAACAAGGTACCAAATCTCAAGGGCAAATGTTGGTGAATTTTGAAGATGTAAATATTTTCAACATAAGGATAATTAAGGACAATTAATTCAAATGGATTCTATAGTGTGTCTCTTTATTGTGTAAAAAATAAGTTACAAAGAGGGCAAATGTTGCCCCTTAATAAAAATAAAATAAAATAAAGTTTCTGACATGGCAATAGACATACTAGCCTATACTCTACATGGTCAATATTGTAAGGTAATATTCATCCATTTTTTGAGATTTTTTTTTTTGGGGGGGGGGACTAATGATTCTCTTTGTTCGGTTTAGTAAATAGTAGACTGACATAGACTGATACACATGTGACACTGGGGAAAATAAGTGCTTATATAAGTATATAAGTATATAACTAGGCTAATATAGGTTGTTAGGCTACTCTATTTCAACACACAGTTAGACACAGTTAGAACTTCTGAAACTGGTCTATAATGGGAGTGATGACAGAGAGGGGAAGAGAACCCATCTATTAGTAATTTAGCAGAGAATGACCGCGCGCGCCTTTAGTGGTAATTTTAACACTTGTTCATTGTGAGTTCTTGTTTTTGAGAATCCGCATAAGTTTGCCCAAGGGTTACGTGGGTGTTATCGAGTGGGAATGTGTGGAATAAAAGCCCGCACAGACCCTGCGAAAGAACACACGACGCATCTCGGGCTCGGACAGACGCACTTGATTTTTCTGCGCTAAATTTGAAGCGCGCAACAGACCGAAGGTAAGACATGCATAAGCTTGGAGCTACAAACTAAACTCACTTAAATTATATTCATTTACATTACAGCTCTATGTATAAACGTTTATAGGCTATACACATATACAGGGTTATAATAAGAGAAAAATAAGTTTGAACAATAAATAGCCTATAGTTTCAATTTTGTATACATACAACTTGGAAAGATTATATTCTCCAGTGCGACATACTCTAGTTTCGCTGAATCTTAGTATTAAATTCTGTCAGTTTCATGAGCTCAGAGATCATGCGAAATATTTGCCTTTGTAAAAGACATGTGGAACCTGAAAAAAAGAAAACATTTAATGGTGAATAAAAATGGTGACCCGTTATAAAATAGGCTCCATATTTCCCCTATTCATTTGATATATGTAAAAAAAAACAAAAAAACAACAACAATGTTTTATCCTTGGTTCAGGGATTACAATTGCAAAAATTATTGTATATTTTTATGATGACCGTTATTATTATAATTGATCATTAACAAATATGGGTTAACGTCCAATCAATATTGCTACACCAATGCTTGATGAGGGTATTGTGATAATTTTTCTTTGGCATTTTCTTTTGATCATTTGATCACTGAATTAAACAAATAATAAATGTTTAATATTTCAATTTGCGGATTCTTTCTCCAGATGGGTTCTTTGATGTGGTTCATCGTGCTCTTCTGTTTGTCCATAACGAGGATGTCTGCGCTTAACTTTTTCCCTGATAAATGTGAGAGCACATACACATCTATCTATGTATCTATGTATCTATGTTTCTATCTATCTATCTATCTATCTATCTATCTATCTATCTATCTATCTATCTATCTATCTATCTATCTATCTATCTATCTATCTATCTATCTATCTATCTATCTATCTATCTATCTATCTATCTATCTATCTATCTATCTATACTAAGTCCATTTGAGTATTAAATACAAGCAGTTGTCTGTCTGTCTGTCTGTCTGTCTGTCTATCTATCTATCTATCTATCTATCTATCTATCTATCTATCTATCTATCTATCTATACTAAGTCCATTTGAGTATTAAATATAAGTAGTTGTCACTTTTCATGCTAGTGCATATTAAATTGCCCACAATAGGTGCATCTATTCTGTGCTCTGAATTGCTTCTCTTTATGCAGTTGAAATTGGTGAAAAACACACATCCGTTACCCTGACCTGTAAAACGAATAAAGACAGTGTCACATGGAAACGTGATACCATAGAAATAAAGGAATCAGATTTTGAAAAACCCAGTGGTCGAAGTCTGACCCTGATCGACCTTCAGGAAGACCTAATCGGGAATTACACCTGCTGGAGTGATAAGGGTCTTGAAGACTACACCTATCTCCTGCTTGACAAGTCTAAAGAAGATACAGGTGGGAGCGTCATATATTCCTAACATTCCTATCAAGTAATGCAGATCTTAAGTTTATATGGGAATAAGGTTTGGTAAATGATTGTTTGATAGGAATGTCATACTAACACCAAAAAGAATGTTGACCATACAAAGTTGTGGCATTCTAATATTCATTAACCATGTTGTTAGTTAACCATTCAAATATTACACATTAAAGCACTGTCCAGAATGGTAAAACCACAGTATTTTATAATAGCTTGATCAGAGGGCATATGAAGCAGTAAATCAATTCATACATTTATTTATTTATTTAATATTTAATCATATTTTTAATAAGCATTCTATTGATGAAATAGTCAAATAGTCTTGGTTAACCATAAACTTGATCACTCTTCATTCTAGATCAGTGATTCTTGCTAATGATGACCTCACAGTCATAAACAGCAGGGGGAAAAAAATAATGCTAAATGCAAATATTAAATTCAACCAACCATAAAATTTCACATAGCTTATCAAACAGTGAGAAAACACTTTCCATATATTTTGTGGTTGTGTGTCTATAAGGACTTAAGGTAGTTCACTTTTTAAAAAAAACTTTTGCTGATAATTTCCTCACCCCCATGTCATCCAAGATGTCCACGTCTTTCTTTCTTCAGTCGAAAAGAAATTAAGGTTTTCGATGAAAACATTCCAGGATTTTCTCCATATAATGGACTTCAATGGGAACCAAACGGTTCAAGGTCCAATTGAGAGTTTCGGTGCAGCTTCAAAGGGCTTTAAACGACACCAAACGATGAATAAGACTGACTCGTAAAAAGGTTTGTTCGTTTTGATGAACGAGTTTGAACAGGAGAGTCACGAACGCGCATCACAGAACAGAGCAAGGCGAGCATTTGAGCTTATAAAACTTCAACTTTTTTATTTATTTTTGAAATGACCGATCGTTTCGCTAGATAAGACCCTTATTCATCGTCTGGTGTCGTTTAAAGCCCTTCGAAGCTGCACTGAAACTCTCATTTGGACCTTGAACCGTTTGGTTCCCATTGAAGTCCATTATATCCTTAATTTCTTTTTGACTGAAGAAAGAAAGACATGGACATCTTGGATGACGGGGGTGGGTAAATTATCAGCAAAAGTGAACTACTCCTTTAAGGACATTTACTACTGTGTTATTTCTAGTGTTTGAAGCAAAACTTGGGAACCATTTATCTAGATCATTATTTGTGTATTATTATCTGCCTGTTGGATAATAGGAAGGCTGCTTAGTTTTTGGACAGTATTCAAGTGTATGTCTGTTCAGTTAGGTTTAGATTTTTCAGCGTATTTCTTTCTTCCTTTTCAGTGTTTAACATCAATTGCACAGCTGAAACTCTTTCCTGCACTGAACACATCAAATGTACTTGGACCTCTGAAGAATTTACAGCTTTCAGACTTCGCAATACAAGGTATCAGACACCCAAACACACACACACACACACACACACACACACACACACACACACACACACACACACACACACACACACACACACACACACACACACACACACACACACACACACACACAGATTAAATAAGCTGATTTTATCTCTGACTCAACTGAACATGCGTGTGGTGTTTATTTAGGGATAATGGTAACTGGGTGTCACAGCCTGTGGATGGGTTATTTTTCCTCCCACATTCAACTAATTCCTATTCTGAAGAATCGGAGCGACTGCTGATAACAGGGGAGGCAGTTTCCCCATGTTGCTATTTGAAAACTGACTACAGCTTCTACCTCCGAGACATTGGTGAGTGTGTGGGTTAAGATTGTAAGTTTATGCTCTGATTAACTCAGTAAGTTAGTTACCATTAAAGTATTTAAAGAAGCAGGCTTTCTTCACAATGTGTTCTTTGTCTTATTTTAAGTAATTTTAAGTCATCATGTTGGGCATGTTTTATGGGGACTTTCCATAGACATAATGATTTTTATACTGTACAACCATATTATATCCCCTTACCCTCCCTAAACCTACCCATCACAGAAAACTTTTTTGCATTTTTTCATTTTCAAAAAAAAAAATCACATACTACGATTTATAAGCTCTTTTTTAGTGGAAAGCCAAAGATTTCTGGTATTCCGAACCTTCAATAAAGACAAGTTTTTAAAAGTTATCTATACTAAGTCCATTTTGAGTATTAAATACAAGCAGTTGTCTGTCTGTCTGTCTGTCTGTCTGTCTGTCTGTCTGTCTGTCTGTCTGTCTGTCTGTCTGTCTGTCTGTCTGTCTGTCTGTCTATCTATCTATCTATCTATCTATCTATCTATCTATCTATCTATCTATCTATCTATCTATCTATCTATCTATCTATCTATCTATCTATCTATCTATATATATATATATATATATATATATATATACAGTATATGTATATATAAGTCATTCAGCAGCCCCTTTGGAAGTTTGCTGGGGCCCTCTAGTGGACGAATGGTTGAAAAACACTGGTCGAAAGCACATCACCACTGATTGAAAGTGATGTCTCTTGTTTTCCCTAGTTAAGCCAGCCAATCCAAACATTTCAATCTGCACAGTAAAAAAGAAGGGGAGTGATGAGCAAATCGTAGAACTGGAGGTGATGCCACCTTCTTCCTGGCCGCAGCCTCACAGTTTCTTTCCTCTGAAGCATCAGGTCGAGTACCAGATTCGACACAATGGGGAGGTACGAAATGCTCTCCTGCACACACCAATGCACATCTTTAAAGATTAGTTCACCAAAAATGAAATAAATATTCAGTCATCCTTTACTTTTATGCCATCCCAAACCTGTATGACTTTGTTGTATGATAAAGTTTAACAGAATTATAATCAGTGATGCTGTCTACACTGGATGCAAAGAGGCGCGACACACATTCCCGACAGTAAATGATGCCCCATTCTATTTCTGACATACGTCTGACACCAAGAACTAATGGATTTGCAATTGCAACGGTCACTATTTCCAGTGTAGACAGCCTCAACCTGGGAACAATTCAAGTCATTAATTACTGAAAATCATGTTCGTTTTAGGGTGAAGTATTTATTTAAGAACTGTAATTAATTCTCTTGTTTTCTGTTTCTGTATATTCACAGCTGAAGACTAAAGAATGGGAGAAGGACTCAAAGATTGAAGTTAAAGGGCATATCAGAAAACTAAGGGTGCGCTCCAGAGACATGCTTCTCCTCTCTCAGTGGAGCGAGTGGACCTCATGGAAAAACGTAAACTAGTGATTTAAACCTCCCTTCCTCCTGAACCCTTTATTTATATCTCCTGTCCCATTTCCTGTTCCTTATTTATTTATTTATTTATAATAGTGTTCATGTTTGAATGATGATGACACTGGTTACTTATGACTGTTACACACACACACTGTACGACTGTATGCACCATGTCTCTGTCCTATTAAAACATTTGCTCTTCTTTTCTGTTTCTTTATTCCTTAAAGCCCACCTAGTCAATAATTTCATCCTTAAAACGACATATTTAAACTAGGGCTGTCAAACGATTAATCGCGATTAATCGCATCCAAAATAAAAGTTTGTGTTTACATAATATATGTGGGTGCACTGTGTATAATTATTTTATATATATAAATACACACACATGCATGTATATTTAAGAAAAAAAATATTTATATATAAAATATTCATATTTATATATAATATAAATTATATATAAATCTATATACAGTATATAACGTACATGAAAATATTTCTTAAATACATACAAGCATGTGTGTGTATTTATATATATGCAAAATAATTATACACAGTGCACCCACATATATTATGTAAACACAAAACTTTTATTTTGGATGCGATTAATCGCGATTAATCGTTTGACAGACCTAATTTAAACGGGTTTTTTTTTCCCAGTGAAAATGATTTCTACATACCAAAATAGCTTGAATGTACACTCTTGCTTAATTTAGTATACACGGATGCATAAATTATCCCCGCCTCCAACGACTCGCACCAGCTCAGAATACCTAATCCAAGTGGAAATACTAGTTTAATTCAGCCCAATATGTTTGAACCAGAGACTGATTCAGAAGAAGTGGAAGATTTAATTATACCGGCTCATACAGTGCTGGTCAGAATTATTAGCCCACTTGGTAAATATGATGAAAGATGGCTGTAAAAAAGAAATAAAATAAAACATCAAAAGGATTAACAATGCGGATTTATTTTTTACAGCCATCTTTAATCATATTTACCAAAGGGGCAAATAATTCTGACCAGCACTGTATATCAGAATGATAACACGTTTTATGTATCGCTTTCTACAATATAGAGACATTGACAACACATAACAACACGGGAATTCGTACGAATTTTACGAGGTGGCTAATTCGTAACAATTCATACGACCTCACTCGTACGAATTAGTACGATTTTCGTACGGAATTCGTACGAATAACCTACCCCTGACCCCGCCCCTAAACCTACCCATCATATGGGTTTAGACAAATCGTACGAATTCGTACGAGTGAGGTCATATGAATTAGTACGTATTAGTCACTTTTTAATCATTCGTACGAATTGGTCGTGAGATAGGGTAGGTAAGTAATATGATTAGCCTTTTGTTTGACTACGTTATCAAACAGCTAATAAATGTGTTGCTAATGTTACACAAACCATGTTCCTGTTCACATCTCAGTCTGCCTTCTGAAAATCAGTATCCTTAGAAACGGCTGAACAACTTAGAACGTCAGTAGAGAAAAGCATATAGTTCATCATAAACTGATCATAAACATAATTCACCCGCTATATTGCTAAATGCACCCTGGATTTTCTCTTGAGACGCCTCTGCTTCACAACATAGTTGATAAGCTAAAGCCCGCCCGCACGTTGACATGATTGGTTCTAACATGTTTGTGACGTAGAGAACAAGGGCGATTAAAACCGTGCTTTTGTCTTTGGTTAAATGCAGTTTTAAGGAGAAAATACTCAGCAATGGCGTTGACAGATGAATTTGATCATAGTTTGTAAAGTTGTACACGTTTATAAGTCTGGGGTTGGTAAGGTTTTTTAATGTTTTTGGAAATAGTCTCTTATGCTCAACCAAGTTTTATTTATTTATTATTTTTACAAGTTTTATAAAAAATGAATATTGTGAAATATTATTACAATTAAAATAACTGTTTTCTATTTTCATGTATTTTAAAATGTAAATGGATGATTATGATGGAAAAATGTCCAATTCATTGCCTTGCTGACCCCAAAGTTTTAAACAGTGTGTATACGAGTGAGAAGCTTTGTGTCCCGATATCTTTGTGTGTTTACGTGTCACAGTCTTCGTCTTCACCTGTTTGTCTCGTCATCTGCACTACACCTCCCCGGATCCTTTTGTTTCCACTCCCGGACTCACTCCCTCATCAGCCACCTGTTCCTCGTCATCATCATCTGTTTCACCTGTTTTCACCCCATTATGTTTGATTCTTCTGTGTATTTAGTTGATTCTCATTCAGTCTGTCTTTGTCGGTCAATGTTGAATGTTACGCTCTGTACCCTGTCTTCCTGCCTGAATTTGGAATTAAATGTCTGTTTATCGAGTTTTGGACTCAGCCTGTCCTTCTACCTGAACCCGCACCGTGACAGATTGACCGACCAAACAAACCTACATGGACGCCGTGATCTTCCGGGGAATCCCCTACCCGGTCCTGCGACCCCGGTTACAGCTTGTTCCCCGGAAGTCTGCGCTCACCGTCAGCCCTGCCGAGCCCGCACTCACCGTCAGCCCTGTCGAGTCTGCGCCCACCGTCAGCCTTGCTGAGTCAGCGCTCACCGTCAGCCCTGTCGAGCCCGCGCTCACCGTCAGCCCTGCGAGCCCGCGCTCACCGTCCGTCCTTTTGAGCCTGAATGCTCTTCACCGCTGGTTCCGTCCAGCTCTCCAGAGACTGTATGCTCTTCACTGCTGGTTCCGCCCAGCCCTCCAGAGACTGTATGCTCTTCACCGCTGGTTCCGTCCAGCCCTCCAGACAACAGGGACGTCGTGATCTTCCGGGGGTCCCTACCCGGGCTTGCGACCCCGGTTGCGTCTCGTTCCCCGGAAGTCTGCGCTCCCCGTCAGTCCTTTTGCGCCCGAACGCTCTTCACTGCTGGTTTCGTCCAGCACTCCAGAGACTGTATGCTCTTCCACAGCTGGTTTCGTCCAGCACTCCAGAGACTGTATGCTCTTCACAGCTGGTTTCGTCCAGCACTCCAGAGACTGTATGCTCTTCACAGCTGGTTTCGTCCAGCACTCCAGAGACTGTATGCTCTTCACTGCTGGTTTCGTCCAGCACTCCAGAGACTGTATGCTCTTCACAGCTGGTTCCGTCCAGCCCTCCAGAGGACTGTATGCTCTTCACAGCTGGTTCCGTCCAGCCCTCCAGAGACTGTATGCTCTTCACTGCTGGTTCCGTCCAGCTCTCCAGAGACGTCCAGCCAGCGCCAAAGACCGTCAAGCCAGCGCCAGAGACCGTCCAGCCTGCGCCAGAGACCGTCCAGCCAGCGCCAGAGACCGTCCAGCCAGCGCAGGAGACCGTCCAGCAGCGCCTGAGACCGTCCAGCCAGCGCCAGAGACCGTCCAGCCAGCGCCTGAGACCGTCCAGCCAGCGCCAGAGACCGTCCAGCCTACGCCAGAGACCGTCCAGCCGGCGCCAGAGACCAGGATCCCGCCCAGCCTCCCTCTCCCGCCTCCTCTCATCTGTCCTCCCTCTGCTCTCCTGCCCTCCAGCTCCCCTGACCAGCCTGGTCCTTGGATCCCCGGTCTGCGCTTCACACCTTCTCCTCTGAGACACTTCCTCGGCCCTCTGTCCCATCAGCTCCCCGTGGCTCCTACCTCCCTCAGCTCCTCCATGGTCCCACAGTCCACCAGCTCGGCCAGGCTCCCTCGTCTCCGAACTCCCTGCACTCCCTCGTCATCCTCCCTTCACCTTTGGACTTCCTTCCCTTGCTCCGCCCCGTCATGTCACCCCCCGGTTCAGTTGGACTCCTCACTCCCTCCAGTCACCCGTCAGCCCTCACGCACTCTGACCTCACCGTGTCCCTCTGTGCCCCCTGTCAGCACTTCGGTCACCAGAGGCCTGCGGTGTCCCCTTGCTTCCCTCGGTCCCTCCTCAGCACCCATCATCGTCGGTCCCTCAGCTACACCCTGGTCTCCTCTCCATCCGCTCCGCCCCTGTCAGTCGGCCCCCTGGTGTTGCAGCCCCACTACCATCGGCTCCACCAGGGGTCCGCCCTCAGCCTGCGCCCTGGTCTCAGCCTGCTCCGCCCTGGCCACGCCCTCAGCCTGCTCCGCCCTGGCCACGCCCTCATCCTGCTCCATCCTGGCCACGCCCTCATCCTGCTCCGCCCTGGCCACGCCCTCATCCTGCTCCGCCCTGGGGGGCTTCCTCGCCTGACCACGTCCTCCACGGCCTCCAGGGCGCCCACCCCCCCCTCCCCGCTGATGTTACGGCGTGAGGTCACGCCTACCGGGAGGGGGGAGTGATTGTCACAGTCTTCGTCTTCACCTGTTTGTCTCGTCATCTGCACTACACCTCCCCGGATCCTTTTGTTTCCA